CTGAACCCAGGAGGTGGAGGTTGCGGTGAGCCGAGATCGCGCCATTGCACTCCAGCCTGGGTAACAAGAGCAAAACTCCGTCTCAAAAAAAAAAAAAAAGAAAGAAAGAAAAAAAATTAGCCAGCTGTGGTGGCTCATACCTGTAATCCCAGCTACCTGGGAGACCGAGGCAATGAGCCAAGATTGCACCACTGTACTCCAGCCTGAGCAACAGAGCGACACTCTGTCTCAAAAATAAATAAATACAGAAAATAAAAAGAGAGAGAGAGAAAGAGTGAAAGAGCTTGATCTTGCTGTCACCATAGGAGCACGGGGGAAAGTCACGTAAGAACACAGAGTGAAGCGCAAGTCAGGAAGACAGCCTTCTTGAATTTTCTGGCACCTTGCTCTTGGCTTTCCAGTCTCCAGAACTGTAAGTTTTGGTTTTTTAAGCCACCCGTCCTAAGGTGCCTTGTTATGGCAGCCTGAGCTGAGACAATCAGTGTCACTCGTTATCGGTGGCTGCTGGGAACCCATCCAAGCTGGCTCCTGTGTCCTTTGAGTTTTCCTCCTTACCCCCGCAGCTTCCCTTGCTTCTGGCACAAAATAGCCCTGGCTCATCTTGTACTCTCCACGGCCCAGCCCTGGAATCCGGCCCTTAACCAAACAGCCTTGGTTCCTTTTATTTATTTATTTGAGATGGAGTCTTGCTCTGTCGCCAGGCTGGAGTTCAGTGGCACGATCTTGGCTCACTGCAACCTCCACTCCCAGTTTCAAGGGATTCTCCTGCCTCAGCCTCCTGATTAGCTGGGACTACAGGCATGCGCTACCACGCCCAGCTAATTTTTGTATTTTTTTTTTTAGTAGAGACGGGGTTTCACCGTGTTAGCCCGGATGGTCTTGATCTCTTGACCTTGTGATCCGCCTGCCTTGGCCTCCCAAAGTGCTCCAATTATAGGTGTGAGCTTCCACACTTGGTTAATTTTATTTTATTTATTTATTTATTTTTTTAGAAACTCGATGTTTATTTTCCATGAATCTTATATGTTGTTTAAGAGCCCACACAAGAACAGCTTAAGACCATTCAGTGGTTGCTCCCACCCATTCAGTGGCCTGAGCAGTGGGAGCTGCAGACCAGTCTTCTGTGGCAGGCTGGGCGCTCCAGTCTTCAGTGGGGAACTGCCGCACAGGCACAGAGGGCACCTGCACGCCTTCAGACCAGTCGGCAGCCTCCGGCTGAGTAGCAGCGAACTCAGGAGCTGGAGCAGTCCATTCGCCCTGAAACTCCTCCTTGGTCACAGCCTTGTCAGCAGCAGCCTGCTCTTCTTTTTCAATCTCTTCAGGATCTCTGTAGAAGTAGAGATCAGGCATGACCTCCCACGGCGTTCACGGGAAACAGTGCCATGCATGCGCAAAACTTCCTGAGCCAGCATCCACCACATCAAACCCGCTGAGTGAGCTCCCTTGTTGTTGCATGGGATGGCAATGTCCACGCAGCGCAGAGGAGAATCTGTGTTACACAGAGCAATGGGAGGCAGGTTAACATAAGACACCTCCGTGAGAGGCCGGTGGTCAGCCCTGGGGTCAGTAATCACAAGCAGCCGTGGCTCCCGGAAGGCTGCCTGGATCTGGTTGCTGAAGGTTCCAGGAATAAAGCGGCCAGCAATTGGGGTGGCTCCAGTGGCAGCAGCAAACTTCAGCACAGCCCTCTGGCCAGTATTCCTGGAGGATATGACACTGACATCAGCAGGTTTTTCAATGGCAACAATGGCACGAGCGGCCAGGAGAAGCTTCTCTCAGGTCCTCTTCAGATTTATGATGTAGATGCCATCACTTTTCCTTTTATAGATATACTGCTCCATCTGGAAGTCAAGGTTAGTGCCACCTAAATGGGTTCCTGCTGCCAGGAACTTAAGGGCATCCTCCTCCTCTATTTGCAGGACATCAAGGGCTCCGGACATTGTGAAAGTTTCCCTTTAAGTTAACGACTGGAATCCAGAACAATGCCGTATGGAGCCCTCGGCAGGTAGCGTGGAAAGCTAATTTTAATTTTTTAAGATGAAGTTTCGCTCTTTTGCTCAGGCTGGAGTGCAGTGGCGGGATCCTGGCTCACTGCAACCTCTGCCTTCTGGTTTCAAGCAATTCTCTTGCCTCAGCGTCCGGAGTAGCTGGGATTACAGGAGCCCGCCACCATGCCTGGCTAATTTTTTTGTCTTTTTAGTAGAGATGGGATTTCATCATGTTGGCCAGGCTGGTCTTGAACTCCTGACTTCAGCCTCCCAAGGTGTTCTGTCACCAGGCTGAAGTGCAGTAGTGTGATCTCAGCTCACTGCAACCTCCACCTCCCAGGTTCAAGAGATTCTCCTGCTTCTGCCTCCCGAGTAGCTGGGACTACAGGCGTGTGCCACTATGCTGGCTAATTTTTGTATTTTTTTTTTCTAGACACAGGGTTTTGCCTTGTTGTCCAGGCTGGTCTTGAACTCCTGGGCTCAAGTGACCCACCCACCTCGGCCTCCCAAAGTGCTGGGATTACAAAAACCAGCCACTGGACACAACCAGACTCTACTCTTTATTGTTCCAAAGAACTTATCAGTTTATATAAGCCTGCTAGGACTGTCAGATTGGGCAAACGGGGCCTCTGGGAGGCAATTAGGTCATGAGGGTGGAGCCCTTATGAATGGGATTAGTGCCCTTATAATAAAAGGGACAGCACCCATTGAGATAGTTCATGCCTGTAAACCCAGGACTTTGGGAGGCCGAGGCAGGTGGATCACCTAAGGTCAGGAGTTGGAGACCAGCCTGGCCAACTTGACGAAACCCTGTCTCTACTAAAAATACAAAAATTAGCTGGGCATGGTGGCGCACACCTGTAGTCCCAGCTACTTGGGAGGCTGAGGCAGGAGAATTGCTTGAACCCAGGAGGCGGAGGTTGTGGTGAGCTGAGATCGCGCCATTGCACTCCAGCCTGGGTAAAAAGAGCGAAACTCCGTCTCAAAAAAAAACAAAAAAAACAAAAATTAGCCAGGCGTGGTGGTGCATGCCTGTAGTCCCAGCTACTCAGGAGACTGAGGCAGGAGAATCTGTGGAACCTGGGAGGCAGAGGTTGCAGTGAGCCAAGATCTTGACACTGCACTCCAGCCTGGGTGACAGAGTAAGACCCTGTCTCAAAAAAAAAAAAAAAACGGACTGCAGAGAACTTCCTTGCCCCTCCCACCACGCAAGAACACAGGAGGAAGGTTCCATCTGTGGCCAAGAACGTGGCCCTCACCAGACACCCAATCCACAGGGGCCTTGATCTGGGACTTCCCAGCCTCCCCAACGGCGATACATCAATTCCTGTCATTTATAAGCCACACGGTCTGTTTTGTTACAGCAGCCCAAATGGACTAAGGCTTCAACATGGGAAGCTGGGGGGACACAATTTGTCTACTACAGCTTCCCACTGGGCTTTCCACGCTGCGTGTTTCCTGTGTATCATACGCCCTCCCAATCCGTGCGTGTCAGCTCCTCACCGCAGGGATCAAATCTCTGGGCACTGTGGCATCCGGAGTTCCTAGAGGCGCAGCTGGAGGCCCTGGTACATATGTGCAGAGGAAATGCTTGTGTCAGAGGAAGCTCCCATGGGGAGACTCACTCCCTCTCTTCCCACTCCTCAGACCTTGGGCAAGGAGAGTCGGAATCCCTGGGACCAGGTACAAACAGTTTATTTTTCTATAAAGAGCAAAGTACAAAGAGGCAGGGAGGGGAGCTGGGCCCAGGGGAGCAGCCGTGGGCAGGCCCCAGGCCCTGGCTATGGTGAGGACGCGCTGGCAACTGCCCCAAGGGAGTAAATGGGCCTCCAGCAGGCAGTGGAGAAAAAGCAGGAGCGTCGAGGAGGAAGCCCATGCCCACTGCTGGGAGTCACACAAAGCCAGGCTTCATGGATGAGCGGCGGCAGTTGGGGCAGCTCCGGGTCCCGTTGTTCTGCAGGCACCTGAGGAGGCAAAGGGCCCTGTCCGCTCTCCTGAGGCCTGTCCTTCCCTCCAGGCCCTGGGCCCTGTCTTCCTTCCTCCCCTGCCCTCTGCAGGGGCTGGGACGCATCCTGGTGGCTGTTCAGCAGCAATGGAAGGGAAGGGATCGGTTCCCCCAAGCTCCCACTGCACCCAGCTTGCCCCTCTGTTCCTCTGCCCCGGGGACTTCCAGGAGCAGAGCATGGGCTGGGAGTTGAGAGGGTGGGATGGAGCCAAACCCAGGGCAGGTCTGGCCCTGGGTGTCTGACCTAAAGGGCTTTGAGGGGCCTTTCTGATTTCTCTTTGGGGATTATCATAAGAATGGCCACTTTTAGATGGGCTGCTGGGAGGATGCAATGAGTCAATATACAGGAAGTGCTGGGGGGTGTGGGTGTGTGTTTTAATAGAGACAGGGTTTCGATTGTTGGCCAGGCTGGTCTCAAACTCCTGGGCTCAAGTGATCCTCCCACCTCAGCATCCCAAAGTGCTGGGATTACAGGCAAGAGCCACCGCGCCCGGCCAGGAAGTGCTGTTTTATGACAGTCACAAAAATAAATAAATTAAATTAAATCAGTCTGGGCACTGTGACCTCCTGATCCTCCTGCCTAGGCCTCCCAAAGTGCTGGGATTACAGGCAAGAGCCACCGCGCCCGGCCAGGAAGTGCTGTTTTATGACAGTCACAAAAATAAATAAATTAAATTAAATCAGTCTGGGCACTGTGACCTCCTGATCCTCCTGCCTAGGCCTCCCAAAGTGCTGGGATTACAGGTGTGAGCCACCACCCCCAGCCTGTTGTTTGTTTTTTGAGACAAGAGTACAGGCCGGAGGGCAGTGGCGCCACCTCAGCTCACTGCAACCTTCGCCTCCCAGGTTCAACGGATTCTCCTGCCTCAGCCTCCCGAGTAGCTGGGATTACAGGCTCCCACCACCGCGCCCTGCTAATTTTTGTATTTTTAGTAGAAACAGGGTTTCACCATGTTGGCCAGGCTGGTCTCAAACTTCTGGGCTCAAGTGATCCGCCTACCTCGGCCTCCCAAAGTGCTGGGATGATAGACGTGAGCCACCGCGCCCGGCCAAAGTAAGTGTTTGGTATTAGTATTATTGCTGTGATTAGGCCACGTGGGCCCTAGAGTGCCTCAAAGAGCCCCGGACCCCCTGTCCACCCCACAGGAGGCCGCACCTCAGGTGGAAGATGTGGGAGCAGGGCAGGGCTTGCAGCCGGCTGTTCTTCTCGCCTATGGACTCGCCGCACAGGCCGCAGTAGAGCTCCGTCTCCTCCACGCACTCGTGGAACCGCACCACGTGCGCCCGCAGTTCCCGCTGCAGCCCTTTGCTGCGGTAGATGCTCTCGCTCAGACAGTGCAGCTTGAGCTGGCTCAGCTGGGGCCCGCAGGAGTGGAGGGCGGCGGCGGGGGACGAGAGCCAAGTCAGTGCCGGGAGACCCCAGCCCCAGCCACTTCCCTGTCTTGCAGATGGACCTCAGAAAAATGTTCTTGCCCTCTCTGGCCCTCGCTTCCTTTCATGCAGAATGAGGGGGTGAGTGAGATCAGAGGTCTTCACCCCCACAACTGCCTGGGGACCCCATGTTTTTGACAGATTTTGTGACCAAACCTGGTGCACTGACTCCATAATAATTTGCGGCGAGGCTCCATGGCTCACGCCTAAAATCCCAGCACTTTGGGAGGCCCAGGTGGGCAGACCACCTGAGGTCAGGAGTTCGAGACCAGTCTGGCCAACATGATGACACCCCATCTCGACTAAAAATACAAAAATTAGTTGAGGGTGATGATGAGCGCCTGTGGAGGCTGAGGCAGGAGAATCGCTTGAACCCAAGAGGCAGAGGTTGCAGTGAGGCGAGATTATGCCATTGCATTCCAGCCTGGGCCTCAAAAGTGAAACTCCATAGCAAAAAAAAAAAAAAAATGATTAATTTGCTTTCCTTTTTTTATTAATTAAATATACGTACAACAGCTCATCAGCATTTCGGATCAGCCTGATACCCAGGTAAACCAGAGTAGCTATAATGCAACCAAAAGCAAATCTTTTTGGCATTTTAGTTGGCCTTTGTACAGGAGCCCATAGAAATGCACATCTGGGCTGGGCATGGTGGCCCATGTCTGTAATCCCAGCACTTTGGGAGGCCAAGGTGGGCAGATCACTTGAGGTTAGGAGTTCGAGACCAGCCTGGCAAATATGGTGAAACTCCATGTTTAAAAAACAAAAAACAAAAACAAAAAAAGAAACGCACATCTGGAAGCCTTTGAGAAATGGTGAACCTGTTTTCAAGATTTTAAGGTTTGGAGAAGATTACTATGATTCATTTTTATTTTTTTATTTTTTTAGATGGAGTCTTGCTCTGTTACCCAGGCTAGAGTGCAATGGCGGGATCTCAGCTCACTGCAACCTCAGCTTCCCAGGTTCAAGTCATTCTCCTGCCTCAGCCTCCCAAGTAGCTGGGATTACACGCGTGCACCACCACACATGGCTAATTTTTGTATTTTTAGTAGAGATGGGGTTTCACCATGTTGGCCAGCCTGGGCTCAAACTCCTGACCTCAGGTGATCTGCCCACCTTGGCCTCCCAAAGTGCTGGGACTGCCGGTGTGAGCCACTGCACCCGGCCTTGGTTTTGGTTTTTAGCCCATGCTAATCTTCTCTGTATCGTTCCAGTTTCAGAACATGGGCTGCCAAAGCAAGCACTAGATACCATTATTAAATTTGGAACATGGGCTTTGTAGTTAAAACAGACAAGTTAGCAGGTATGGGACTTTGGATGCCTCTCTGAGCCTTACTTTTCCTCATCTGTAAAGTGGGGCTTGCTGTACCCACCCTGCAGGGAGAGAGTGAGGACTAGACCCAATACCTGTAAGGAGCCTGTGTGTGCTCAGTGCTCAGGAAGCGGAGGCCACTGTTAGGAGTTTTTGTTTGTTTTGAGACAGGGTCTCACTCTGTCATCCAGGCTGGAGTGCAATGGAGGAATCACAGCTCACTGCAGCCTCGACCTCCTGGGCTCAAGCCATCCTCCCACCTCAGCCTCCTGAGCGGCTGGGATGACAGGTGTGTGCCACCACGCCCAGCTAATTTTTAAAACTTTTTGGTAGAGGCGAGATGTGGTGGCTCACGCTTGTAATCTCAGCACTTTGGGAGGCTGAGGTGACTGAATCACCTGAGGTCAGGAGTTCGAGACCAGCCTGGCCAACATGGTGAAACCCCATCTCTACTAAAAATACAAAAATTAGCCAGGCATGGTAGCAGGCACCTGTAATCCCAGCTACTCAGGAGGCTGAGGCAGGAGAATCACTTGAACCCGGGAGGCGGCGGTGGCAGTGAGCCTGGATTGCACTATTGCACTACAGCCTGGGCGGCAACAGCAAAACTCCATCTCAAAATTTTTTTTTTTTTTTTGTAGAGAGTGTTGGGATTATAGGTGTGAGCCACCGTGCCCAGCCCACTGTTAGGAGTTTTGATCAATGTCGGGAAGCCGCTGAGGAATTCTCTATCCTCCAAGCTATGAAACTCCTGCCCTGCCCTCAGAGGTGCTCTCTGTGTGGCAGAGAAAGAGCCAGGGTCTGGGATGGCTGCAGGCAGCTCCCAGGATCAGGAAGAGCTCATGGCTTAAGCAGGCTCAGGAAGACCCTTCCCCAGACCCAAGTCCCCCACTTGGGCCCTTGACCCCAGACCCAGGACCCAGCATCAACTCTGACCTTGTTCCCCACCTCCTCAGCCAGATCCTGGGCTCTCTCGATGGCGTCCAGAGCCTGAAAGGTGAGCACAGGCCAGGGCTGCGGGCAGGGCCCTGTGACAGAGACCTTCCTCACAGGGAAGCACGGGGGAGGGGGCGGACCTGGGGAGGCGACATGGCAGCAGGAACAGACTGGGGCACAGTCACCATGGCTGTGTGGGCAAGGAACCTCCTGCCTCAGTTTACCCAGCAGTCTGGGTTCCGATCCCAGCTCCAGCCCTTTACTAGCGGTGGGTCCCAGGGCAAGAGATGGGCCTTCTCTGAGTCTGGAAAATAACCAGGAGTGTTCTGGCCTCATGGGATCAGGGTGAGGCTGACGTCAGACGAAGTGGGTAAAAGAGTCAGCTAACCTACTGGCCCCGAGTGCGGAGCGCTGGGAGGGCTGCAGGCTGTGGGAATGGCCCGACCTCACCTTGTCCAGCGCCTTCCTGGCCACCCAGCACTTGGCCACACCCAGCAGCGCCTGCACCTGCCCTAGGCGGTTTCCGATCTCGGTCATGATGCTCATGGCGGAGTCATACCTGGGGAAGGCCGTCTGCAGGGCCAGGTAGGGGATGGAATCAGGCTGCAGCAGGCCTGTACCACTGCCCCCCACACCTCCAGCCCCTGCATCCCGGTGGCCTGACCTCCAGGTCCCCACGGCTCCGGTGGATGTCAGCGAAGCAGAGTAGGCAAAGTGCTTGCAGTGGCCGGTCCCCGTGCTGCAGCGCGATCTTCATGGACTCCTGTAGCCAAGGCCAGCGGCTCAGGCCTGCTCTTCAGCCACCACCACTCTGCCCCCCTCAGCGGGCCCCTCGAAAGGCACAGCCCAGGGAACCAACATCCTCAGAGCCTACCGCATCAATCATGGTGCTGAGGCCTTACACACTGAACCGCTGAAGTCACAGCACTCAGCGAGGTGGGTGGAAAGTGAGACTCAAAAAGCGACTTGACTGAGGTCAACCAGTAAGTGACAAAGCTGGGATGTGAACCCAGGTCGTGGGACTCCAGAGGCTGGCTCTCTCCCCTCTCTGCTCTTCAAAGTACCCCATATTGGGTGTTGGAGACAGAGGGAAGCCCCCTCCCCTGCAGATGGACTGGAAGGGAGTGGGGTTTGGGATGAGGTTGGGGGCAAATGTTTCAATCAGGGGCTCAGGTGTAGAGAGGCTGGGCCAGGGGCAAGCCCTGGGGAGCCCCCAGGGGTTGATTTGGAAGAAGGAGGCCCTGCTGTCCTAGGCCCCAGCCCCTGGCCCACACTGCCTCACCCCCCACTGCCCCCTTGCCCGCTGCCGCACCTCACAACACTCCATGGCACTGCCCAGGTGGCCCAGCAGGCGATAGGCCACGGCCATGTGGTACTGGCTCATGGCCCGGTACTTCAGGCTCCAGCCTTTGCCATAGTCGTTGACGAGCTCTGCGGCCTTGCAGGGGAAGAACAGGGCTTTCTCATAGTCCTGCAGGGGACGTGGGATGGAAGGAGGCACACTGAGTGGCAGAGGCTGCCCCAAGTCAATAGATCATGGGCCAGGCTTCTCTAACAGCAGGTAGGAGCGAGGGGGCCCTATTGTCTGTTCATTCATTGTGGCGTCCAGAACAAGAGTGACCCAGGCTGGCCAGGCGCGGTGGCTCACGCCTGTAATCCCAGCACTTGGGGAGGCAGAGGTGGGTGGATCACAAGGTCAGGAGTTCGAGACCACCCTGGCCAATGTGGTGAAACCCCGTCTCTACTAAAGATACAAAAAATTAGCCGGGCATGGTGGCAGACACATGTAGTCCCAGCTACTCAGGAGGCTGAGGCAGAAGAATTGCTTGAACCCAGGAGGCGGAGGTTGCAGTGAGCTGAGATCGCTCCATTGCACTACAGCCTGGGGGACAGGCGATACTCCATCTGAAAAAAAAAATAAAAAAAGAGGGAACCCAGGTAGAGGGAACAGCCGGTGCAAAGGTGTGCGCTCCGTGGATGCACGGATTTTTATCTGGTTTGTGACGCATCCCAAGAGCCTAGCACAGTTCTTAGCACTTGGTAGACACACAAGAAATATTTGTTGAGGCCGGGCGCGGTGGCTCAAGCCTGTAATCCCAGCACTTTGGGAGGCCGAGGTGGGTGGATCAC